AAAAAAAAAAAAAAACCCGAGTCTGGTGGATTTGGCTCACCAGTGTAGCTGCCATCAGCAACATGAGGTACCAGAACACGGGGAGCAAACTGGGAGGCTTCCATTGGCCCCCTTGGTGAAATGTCAACTTGAAAATAAAGCACATTCCCACAGGCTGGGCATTTCTATCTTCATCCCAAATTTTCCCTCTAAAACTTCAAGCTTAACACTACACACACACATTGCTAAAATTATATCACATCGCTCTTTAAAAACATACAGGTAAGGTGGACAAGATATACAAAAACAGGTTTTCAAAATATGATTCTATAACCCTATGCAATATCCACTTTCAAATTGCCAATACTGCAACCCGCTCTGCAATTTCATCAAACTGGCAGAAACAATTGGATGGGGTTGGAAAGCGGTGACTTGCCAAATGTCACTGGAAACAGCCTTGCTGACGAGGCTTCAGCTTGGTGAATGCACACCCAGCTATAACCAACCTGTTCTCAACCAAGTAATTATCTTCTCCTGGGCAGAGAGACTGGTAGTAAAAAATTGCAGAAAGACAGCACACTGCGTGGGGGGAGGAAGAAGGGGACAGAGAAATAGAAAGGGAGAGAAAGAAGAGGGGGTTACAGAGGAAATAAATTCCTGCAAGATAAAAAAGAAGAGGGATGTGGGGAGAATCACTAAAATCCCATCTGAGAAAATGATCCAGGAGATGGGAAAGGAAACTAAAAGGGCTGGCAGGTGAACAAGCCCGGCTTTTAATGGCTTAATAATAGGGATGTTTGGTAACCAATGAGGTTAATGCGCAAGTGACATAAACCAGCAGGGGGTCTTGCAGGGGAGCCGCAGCACATACGAATTGAAGGACATTTAATACAGGATAACGGCAGAAAGATAGGGCTGCCGCTGAATCCACTTCCCTTCATTCACGAAGGATGAGCTGGCAGAATTTAATAGCTTGGCACTGTCATTTGAGAGAAGCAGCAGTACTGATGGAAAAAGTCTTCTTTTTAATGTGGGAACCAGTCAAGGGAAGGAAGCGAGAAAGGAAGGAAGGAAATGAGGGAGGGAGGGAGGGAGGGAGGGAGGGAGAGGGAAAAGAAAAGGAGGGAAGTTAACAAATGAAGTGTTTAATGAGAGACCCTGTGGTTGTGATTTCAGGGTTAGGGAGCTATTATCTGCCATTCATTGGAAAATACCCTCTCAGTTCAGTTGACCCATAGGTCAGCTTCTCAAACTTTGATATGCAAACAAATCACTCCAGGAGCTCTTTAAAAGGCAGACTTTGATTCAGTAGGGGTGGGGTGGGGCCTGAGATTCTGAGATTTCCAGCAAACTTCCAGTTGTGATGCTGCCATGTGTAAGGACCACACTTTGAGTAGCAAAGTAGGTACAGTAGCCACTAGTCACAAGTAGGGGCTGAGCACTTAAATTTGCCTGACCTGGGGCGCCTGGCTGGCTCAAGCTACGAAGCATGTGGCTCTTGATCTTGGGGTTGTGGGTTCAAGCCCCCAGTTGGGTGTAAAGATTACTTAAAAATAAAATCTTAAAAAAATATATATATATGCCTGTGGCGCCTGGGTGGCGCAGCCAGTTAAGTGTCCAACTCTTGGTTTCAGCTCAGGTTGTGATCTCAGGGTCCTGGGATTGAGCCTCGTGTGGGGCTCTGCACTCAGTGCGTAGTCTACTTAAGAGTC